ATCGCCCTCTTCATGTTTTTGCTTTCTTGAATTTACAGCTCTACTGCACTTTTCATTCCAACGTTTTGTGTGATAAAGTGCGAGCCTAGGACAACACATCACCACTACCACCACCACCGCCAGTTCATTGACGCCACCACGAGGCGAGGCGCACAGGTAGACACAACACTCAAATATTTGTCGGTTTACATCTCCAACTACTTAGCGAAAATGCTCGGGCAAGTGGTCCCCATCAGGACCGCTTCAGCAGCTCTACGTAATGGTTAGATACTTCGGAAACCGTCGGAATAGGTAGTGAGACGTAGTAACTGGCTTATTGTGCCCCTTTTCCCACTCATACCCCTTCAGGGTTCATCTTACCGTAAACCAAGGGTTCAGCAGCTATAAGCTTTTGTTAGTAAACTCATAGGCTCTGGATACTGTAAGCTAATACTCAGGAAAACGTCCTTGCGAATGGCCTCAGAGAAACAAAATTCTCTAACAATGACGGATTGCTGGCAATCAAAAGTCGCACCGCCCCTACAGTGATGGTGCTTCGCAGACGGATCGTACCGACGGGCTCCAGAAAAAAAAAGAGAAAGATCTCGTTCTTACCTTAGGATTAATGGGAAGTCTAGCGTGGCATTCAAAGGGGTTTTTTCATAGTTTAGTTCGAAAGTGACTTTGTTTAACTGTATTCAAAGAAGTGTGGATGTTGGAGAAGGACTTCTTCGTCTTCTCTCATGGTTCCAACTTCCAGATTTCCAGAAACGCTCGGGAACGTTCTAGGAATTTTTTGGGCATTTTCCTTCTATTCTTTTTCACTCGACTAAACACCACCCACCAACTGGCTACCAGCAGGAGTTTTTACTGGACGACGAATCCGCGTTTCTCGAGTAGGAGTGGCTTGGGTGGCGTAGAAGCAAAAATCATCGATTGATTACTGTATGATGCACTTTCCTCGTGAGGTGAATGGCGTGGGGACGGTTTTGCAGCATGGCCATACTAAATGCCCATATATTCTATTACTGCGTCGTCAGCATGTGGATTCCGTTTTTCAATTTCTTCTTCTGACCTGCTCAATTCCATGGAAAACGCGAATTAGCCGGCACGGACTGTTGTGGCCTATTTGGGGAATGAATCCTTGGGATCGTGTAAGAAGGATTCGTTCCAGCCTTGAAAGGGCTCCAACATTTGGATTACTTATAAAATTTTCGCTGAAGAAAGGCCCATTTCAGATGTACCGTAGGCTGTCGGAAAGCGGACTGCAGCTAGACCCCCCCCCCNGCCGGCACGGACTGTTGTGGCCTATTTGGGGAATGAATCCTTGGGATCGTGTAAGAAGGATTCGATTCAGGCGGATATTTGGATTACTTATTAAAATTTTGCTGAAGAAAGCCTTTCAGATGTACCGTAGGCGGAAAACGGAAAGCGAACTGCAAGTAGACCCCCTAGACCCCCGTCGACGCCGAGATACGGTCATTCCTATCGTTTGGAGCGACAGGAGTGACATCAGCCCATAAGGCTGAGAAGATATTCCACTCAACGGCCCAAGAAATTTCTTGAATCGTGCCCATGGTGAAAGGAGCGAACCTCCGGATTGATACCTGCCCAGGCCGTCCAAGCTACCACTTCCTGGATCGATTAATTGGACGTACTAGACACACTATTAGACTAGAATTATTGGACTCTTGTCAGAGGAGATGAAGGACCTGAAGGTGTGCTAGAGTCTATCAGCGTGAATCGTCACCTTCGAAAGACCCTAAAATTTCAGGTAAAAATCGAACTCTTAGTCACAGCTTGAAAAGAGATCGTTCATCGTTGAAAAGCATGACCATCACATCGGAAATAGCTGTTTTTGATCCTCATCGTCATCGCAAATGAGGTCTCTTTCCAGTTCGGCCGGCGCCGGCCGTGGTTGTCGGCCAATGATGACAGCGAAGCCTCCTGGCACTTATGAAAAAGCAACACGGGTGTGTGCTCAGTGGTAGCAACAGAAAAAACGTATTGAAGAGTTCTAAATCCGGCAACAAAGTTGAGGTTGATGAGCCTTTGCATTGCACATTCTATTCCCGGGGGCAAGCACCATCTCATTGGAGAGGTAGGCTAAGTCATTGTCTAAAAGGAAATAAAATGGGCAACGCTATGAAAGAGCATACAGGTCCAAGCTATTGATGTTACTTGCTGAGCAACTGTACTGTAGTGTTTTTTCCACAGTACCGAGCTCTGCTGAATTACGGTGCCTCCTCCTTGATGCGATGCCAATACGACCAGCTTCGATCAACGGCATCATGTGCCCGAATCGTCCGATCCTACTCCATTCGAACTGCTGGTGCAAGAGCGTGATGATTCCAGTTCCCTAAACGAGCCTACTGGAAGTATTCTCAGCGGAATCGGAGTTGGAGTAATAAAACCTGCTGGCTCCTAAACCTCGGAAACATTTCGGCATTCTTGTAGGACACTCTTGAGTTCTATGCGACTATGTAAGAGATGACACCCGGAGACCTATCCCAGATGGGAACAATCAAGCCCTTACTCGGCGTGGCTGAATATTTCTGAGAAAAAGCCTTGAATCCTTTTTTGTGCTTCACATTTCCCACTGAAATCTACTATCTTTTCACAGTGTTCAACCGAATCCAAAAGAGTGGCCGTTCAAGACTGCAAGAGAACTCGAAGATTAATGAATTTTCTTGTGAAAGCCTGAAAATGCCACAAAAACCGTAGTGACAAATATCTACTCAGTAACTACACTATCCCTTTCAGAGGGTATCTCTCTAAGTCCAAAATAAAAGTCAGTTCATGGTACAAAAAGACTATCCATTCCTATTTCTGACCTACGACTTGTTTTTGGGAGCTTCTTCTTCTGGGAGCTTCTTCTGAAGAGGCTTTCCAAACCTTCTGTAAGTCTACGTTCTGGCAAAACTGCGGAGAAATCAATCATTCTCATTGGGAATATGTAGATGAAATCTCCGGGTACAAGGACCTCAAATTGGTCAGTAGCCGGGGGTGAGAATGCTGTTGCTATTCCTGTTCAGGTCTATTTTCATGGTTTACAGAATATGGTTTGGCTGAGCGCCAGGTAAAAACCCATATTTTACTTTGGTAGTAATACAAGATTCTTCGACCGGAGCAGGTCACCTCCAATAGGGTTTGAATGGGTACTCTTCAGAGGGCGCATCATAGCTAGGTGATCGAGTATGAAAGCGGTTGACATTCACAACAATTAGGACCACCTTATTTTCTATGGCCCATCGAAATATGATAAGTCTTCAAAATCATTTTTGGTATCGGAGCTAAACAGTTGCCGAGTTTGACACTGCGCACAAATCGTTCCCGTTACGTACGGCGGTGTTGGCGGCAGCGACGCTTTTTCCCCAGATAAATCATGATGATGGAACCCGTTCCGTGTCTCTGACTGAATTACCTTACCATTGCTTGTAGAGTCGTCACAACAGAGTGCACTCTTCCACCGTTCGCCACGGAAATTGTTTCGAAACTGTGTGGGTGTATTTTAAAAAAAACCCCAGGTCTGGGCTTTCTGGCACTGAGTCCACTGGTGCTGGGCTGAGCTATGCCGATGCCGACGTACGAGTAGACCGGCAGAACTCACTGGAAGTACAACGAGCAAGTGGCAAAGGGCAACCGTAAACCCTAGCAATGGGATTCTACTGGTTCTAGTAGGTGGCTGACTCGTTTTTTGTGCATCCAACGATTTGATATGAAGCTTTGCCCTCGAAATCGGCCCCGGCACAACGTCATAGCCCATTAACAAGTGTGTGCCCTTGAGAATGCGCGTCGACAGCAGCACATGTTTCGTCTTCCTCCCTTTACCCATCAGATTCAGTGGGGCAACACGATCACTTTCCTGAGGAACATGGATTTGCACGAACACCGTTGTAGCTGCAACAAACCGAGCTGGTGGATTGCCCTTATTTGTCAACTCATCGAATTTTAGCTGAGCTCAATTTTGGCGGTCGAACAGTTTTTATTCGCCGCCGTTGCGTCGCGACTTCCACAAGCTACTCCCTTTATTGGCATCTATCATTGAAATTAACGACATTACTACAGTGTGGGTCTTCGCTCATGTCTCTTGTCCGTATGCTCATTGTCCCCCATTGCACTCTCTATGAGTACGTAGAAAGGACATTCCTTCTCCAAATTACCCCAAAATCCTCAAGCCGCAATTAATTTAGAAGACATAGCGAGGGTATGGGCTCGAAGTTCTATAGGAATGGCAGTCCCATACCTCTCACTGCAATGGTACGAAAAATGTCCCAAATGAGTANCCTCCTACCACAGAGAAAAGCTGGTGGAAATGAATAATGAGACTGTTATCGATTCCATGGTACTACAAATGTCCCAAATGGGTAAGTCGCTCTGGTAGCACCCGGGAAGAGCTCAAAGACACGTGCGGGCGTCACTACCCGTATCTTAGTCCTCTGAACACTGGCTGAGTTGATGAAACAAGCAATACCCGAAGAAGTTCAATGGGTAAAACTCGTTCAAACACACAGTTCATATAGTAGATTGTTCAACGACAACGGCAGTGTGGCATGGGGGGACAATAACGACGTTTTTCACAACGGGGATACACCAGAAGATATAATAGCACAGAAGATATACAGAACGAACGTAACAAAGAAAAAAAGAAATGAAAACACAACATATCGCAGCAAATTAAAGCGTAAACAGTACATGTGTTTTCTGTGGAATTATATGTAATTTCACATGATGACTGGTAGTAGAAAAGTATAAACAGTTCCTGAAGTAGTGAGACTCATTCAGCAGCGATTTACCGCCCGCAAAAAGGAGCTTCCTAGCGAGAGAGAGAGAGAGGGAGAGGGAAACGGGTGGGAATGTAACAATGAACAGACAGACAATACGGTATATTTAAAAAAAGCTCAGTTTTATGGACCATGTAAGGACACTGAGAAGTGAGAGACGGGGATGCTGAATATACAGCTACATCGTCTCTTGATTACTCCAGACGTACTAACGGAAGTTACTGGCTACGAATCCATCTATTCGGCAGTGACAAGCTCGCGACAGATGGCATGTTCCATCATCTCAGCGAATGACTTCTTCGGTGAGCCTGCACTGGTGTAGCCGGAGTCGTTTTTAGGTGACGGCGTCGGCTCGGATTCCGCAACGTAACCGCTCATGCCGGAGAAGGCCATCAACGCATCCATACCGTCCATTATCTCGGAGTCCGGTTGTTTGCGCTAAAAAACTGAAGCTGGATTAAGATGGCCCCCGAATCTTCTTTGACACCGTTTTTGCCATTCAATAGTGCACAAGCACTTTCGGCAACTATCAAAATAACACTCAAACGACCTTTTGTCCACAAACTACGCCCGAACCAGTACAACTGCTATCAAATATTCCTGGACATTGTGAGCGTTATTCGATGTTGAGCACAAAACGATGACAAGAGGACAAATCGACAACGATATTCACAATCAGATGAACTAAGCACAAACCTGATATTTGGGATGATGACGGAACGGCGAGTCAGGACCAATTGAATCGGGTAAGTCCTCATCGCGAATGATTCGCCTCAGGGCAATGGCTGGCTCCTCGATCAAATCAGCGAGTCTCTCCGGTGACGTCCGCTTGGCCGCCGGAGGCGGCGGACTGCTTGCGCTCAGTACTGAAGCTGAGAAGGGATATAGCCATAGTCAGCGATTGAACCAGCACTCAGACAAGACACTAATGAGCCGCTTAGACATGAGCATGAAAAACGTCTCACCTTTAGCTGCGTCTTTTCGCAACTTCTCATCTAAATCTTTCGTCGACGGGGGCTGGCGGATGGTTAGTGGAGCATCGTCTTCCTCATCTACGAGCATTCTCAACACACTCGATTGCTCCTCTTCCTGAGCTCTACGGGATCTCTTTCGTCTCTTTTCAGGTGTTGTTGTCGGCTGGAACAAAGCTTGTGCTCAAAAGCAGTTCATGCAAAAGCTAATAAGTCGGTAAACTGTTTTCTGTTCCACAGCGCAACGAGACACTGTCGCTGTCCTTTCTGTTTACGTACTCAGGACCAGAAACGACTGAACTGACTCATTCCCACTGTGCACTCTCACTGTGCCACAACATCACCCACCTTAGGTCGTTGCAGTGCAGCAGCGCTTGAAAATGCTCTGGGACGTGAATCGAGCACAGGAGGTCCTATTACTGATGATGTCTTGGGACGCAAAGCCTGAAATTCTGTTGATGGACGGGTGAACGTCGCGAAAATAACTGCACCACAACTTACACTGTTCGTCATAAGGCCCAAGCTCTCAATCGTGGAATGAGGAGGAAGAGAGGATGTCATTGGAGTCATTGGTAGGAGAGGAAACATCGGGAATCCTTGGAGTGGGAACAAGCCGAGAGAAAGAGCAGCCAACTGATCGTGTGGGATCGACGGAAACAGCAACGACTGTTGCGATGTTGGTATTTCCGTATTTGCTCCATCCTTGGGCTGAATAAACTTAATTCATAACATTTTTTACAACTTTCTTTATAAAAATTCCATCAATCAAGCCCTTACCATAGTCGACAAAGATGGAAGAGTGGAGAAGTCAGGCATAGTCGCTAGTAGGGCTTGCAGATCCAATGTGGGAGCTATCGCTGGCGCAGGTGAGCCGTCACTGTTCATCTGGAATGCGTAGTGATCAAGGAAGGGTTACAAGTGAAGGAAGGCACGGTTCGGATAGATAGAGCGAAGTATGAGTGCGAGTACGTGCGAAAAATGCTGGGCAATGGACATACGTTTCTCCCGATGTGGTGGGCGTGGCTGGGCAAGTACAGCACAGCGCCGACATAGCGGAAAGTGCGGAAAACAGTGACCTTTTAGGACACTGACAGACGGTTGAAGTGCACCAGTTAGCGATGAACGACGAAACGACGAGGAGGAGTGTCGAATGCAAGGATTCTGTCGATCATAGATGGGAAGTTTGAGAGAATCCCTGGAGACGTGCTCCAAGTTTTGCTTCTAAGGCATTCCTACCTATTAGCTGATCTCTGAGGCGAAAATGCCACCCAAGGGCGAGGTGCCGTTTGGCCGAGGACTAACCATTAACATCAAACATGAATTTCGATTTTACTCGGTAACCACTGAGCAAAACATGACGTTATGAGTGATACTCCATGAAGGCACCGCCCACTTAGGAGGGGGGAAGACACATGTGATCGATGTTTCCCACTCTTGCAGTTTAAAAGTAGCGACGGAGAACGAAAATACAAAGGTCGCCCGATGTTGACGTCCACCGGGCCTATCCTTCGATTTAGCCCTTCGGCTGCCGTTCAATGATTTGGCACTTCATATTAGGTTTGAGTTACCACCGTCGGCAATCTGGGGAGAACAAGAAGAACGTGGGAAGGATCGCGATGAAATCTGTGGGGAAGTATCTCGGTAAGGAAGGGTAACAATGAAGTGAATGTTAGAATTCCAGACAATTCACGTGCATAGCAGTTTCCAAGCGATTAGCTCTAACGACAGTAAAAAAGCTTCAGTGCAAAGGAAAACAATCCATGCTGACGTATTGAAGTACGACGTTATTTGATGGCATTTAACACCCGTGAAAGGGCAAGTGGGCAGAAAAGAAAAGCCGCGACACACAAGTCTGCTCATCCAGGAACACAGCCCTTCATCATGGACAGGCGGCCAGTCATGGTAAAGGACAATTTTAACGGGGGGCTCTTTCTCCGAAGGGAGGAGCAAAGGCGAGGAATTTTCGTGTTTTGTGCTCTTTTCGGAGCTGCAGCTAAAGTGCATTCGTGGAAAAGTTTCTCGGAAAAACCCCTACAGGAGTCAAGTGCACGGCTAGAGGCTGTTCAAACCATGAAAAGGGTATGCATTGAACGGACATACGAAGGATTGAAGAAGGGGGAAGAACGTAAGAAGAACAAAACAGAACGCCAAGTTGTCGACGACGTGATGGACTGGAGGGAGGTTTTCCGAATGGGCGTGGACTCGTTCGGCCTCAGCCCCGACGGATTCACATGGCGCGCGTAAACATGCCCTTCTCGTGTTTCCCCCCTTCTCCCCCTCGGAATTGCTGCGCCCGCCGTGAGCCGAGACGAGTGATCTCTAGTTTTAGTGTACACCACGCAGCCGCAATAACAAACAAAACGCTTGCGTACTGTTGGATAGGGCATGCGGCGTCCCTGGGCACTTTGCATCCTGTTATTCCCCTAGCCATGCCACCAAGTGCTTGTTGATGACCAGGGAGGGGGAATGAATGGCTCACCAGTGATGCTTACGAAACAAATAAAAGGGCACTGGTGAGTTTCCCGATTTGCCCACCCTGTCATAGATTTCATGATAAAGTGCAGGCACACTTCTCCTGGGAAAAATACCTCCATCAAAAGAATGCAACAAAAAACATGAGTGATTCAGTTGGTTGGTAAGTTTCCTAGTTTTGCTCCTTTGACTGTTGAGAAATTGAGTTTGTTTTCAAAAGCTGGCATGATCTGATTAGTGAGACTCGCTCAGTCCCGTTTCGACGGTTTTCGTGAGAAAAAAGACTGGGGTGAGTAGGGTAATATGCAAGAAGAACAACAAATGAGGTGACTTTGTTGAAAACGATGGAACGGATGGCGGAACTATGCAATTGACAGTGTCACTGCTGAGATGAGGCGGTGGTTATCGAGAAACGAGACGGGGAATCACAGTAAGTTGTCGTCAAACCAGTTCAGTGTGTGTTGAAGTACTGGGAACAACGATGGCATGGCATGGATGTCTCGACTTGAGGCTCCGCCCTAACCTTGGGGGCGTTCGGGCAACGCCACGACTACACACACGTTCACGTCACAATGCAACTAACAACGGGTGTAGGGCATTTCGATAAACATGAACTCTTTGCTGGCTGTATTTTCAATAGTACAGCCCACCTGTCTGATTTCGTCTACATGAGTGAGTGGGCATTCGCACATACAGCTGTGGCCAAATGACACCAAATGGCAAAGTTGGTAGAAGAGGCACAAACAAGTAGATCGGGAGTGAACAGGGGGGGGGGGCATGAGAGGAACAAGGAAGCAAGGGGTAATGCAAAGGGAAAGGACCGTCTTCGAATTGGAGCAACATGAAGAGAGGCTGCTGGCAGAAGCCCAGCGACGACGGCGGCTTGGAGAAGTGGAGAGCAGTCTAAACTCTTCAGAATCATAATCAATTTCTTCTGAACTCCTCAGGCTGAGTGTGGCCTGAACGCTGACATTGGCACAAAAGAAGTTTATGCGTCACGAAAATGGAATTCGAAGGAACGTTTTTGTGCAGGGCGAAACTGACATCTCGAACAAAGGCAGACCGTACTTTTGCAGGCGATAATTCTGCTTATTTCGAATGTTACAAATATTACTGTAAAGGTTTTGAGTATAGTTAAAGCCGGTCACTGTTCATAGCATATTTGTGCCTTTGGTTTTCCATAAAGGTGAGTGAAGAACGTACTACTTGGCCGTGCAGTCATACACCTCACATAAAGAAAACAGATAGGGGACAAAGTCCGGCTACAGTATAAACATAGGGCAAGGCACGTGACGCACAGAATCTTACCAAGACCACAGATGCATTACTTCATTTTCATCGTTTTTCGTTTTTTCTTCGAGAAAATTCGAAAACACAAGCGTGAGGTCGATTTTATGGTATAGGAGTTAAGTGGGGCCTTATCGAGTATACGGTCTGGAGATCGAATCCCGTATTGATATCAGCTCAGACTAATCTAGCCTCCCATCCCTTCGGAGTTGTTTATTTGGTATTAGTCCTTCCTGAGAATATAGAGCACTGATCGTAGACTCGTCGTTGTATAGGCCTCATACGCGATTAAAACACCACTATGATTTTGGATGACTGTCGATGCGGTGGCGCATTCCGAAACATGACTAATAGGACGGATCAACGCCAAAAGACTTTACTCATCCCCAGGCTTTGGCAATAAGAAATGAAACAAGGAAGCAAGTCGACCCTATGGCTCCCACTATTTGTACCGTCAGACACCTGGCCAAAAGTTGAGAAGAGAGGCAAGAATGGAAGGCCATTATCGCTACTGAGGAGGGTTTTACAGAAACTTCAAGGCCCCACCTCTTTCCTAAGTCATTGGCTCAGATCCACCCGAGAAAATCAAGTGAGATGTTGGCCCAGTCAGTGAACTAGGTGAGGGTAGGGCCATCATCACAGTTTTCTGAATGGTTCCCATCTTATGCCTCAAATCCTTCGAGATCCATTTATGAGAGCCTTTGAGGTGAATCTGGGATACGGAATCTCCCTCGGTATGATTTTTGTTAATTTTACAGCAAAATTCTCTATGTTTCTAATAATAGTTTTATGATGTTTGTTGGCAGTTCAGCAAATGGCCCCTCATGAGAAATCCCCCATTGCTAGCCTTCTTTGAAGGGATGTGAAAGTCGCCGATGTCCCAATGAGTTTTACACATTATCAGTCCTTTTGGAATTCCTCTTATGTGTCCTTTCTATTTGAACTTGGGCAGCATGCTCGGGTAGTCTAATTCCTTCCGTAGTTCTTGAAATGTTGTCCTTTGCTTCGCGTTTGACCTTATGCAGCCAGCCAGCCACTGAGAGTCGAGGAGGAACCGAAACAATGAACATCCGAGCTTCGATGCCTGTCACCCCGAAAAAAAGTTTTATGACGCAGCAATTATACGAGAGTCAAGAGAGAGGGAGCTCCCTCGACTGTGTACAAATGCAGAGGAGTATGAGTAAATCAAGTGATTTTGCAGGTGGCTAAGCTGTGGGGNGGGGGGGTCCATCACTAAGGACAATCTTTGATATGATTTCAATCTGATAGAAAAGAATTTGGGACAAGGGTGTTTCCCCCGTGTGTATGTATGTGGTGCCGGTGGGGCAATGTCCTCGGGATGTACTTTTGGCTCATCCAACATTGCCGACCTTGTGACTCGAAAAAAATCCCTCGCACATACGTGCATTCTCATCCACCGGACCCTACGATTTCCTTCAAGGACGGCCAGATCGTATGTTCATAGCCAGAATGGTAAGAGTAAAGGCAGTAAAGACTGTTTCACTTTCGTCGTAGGGAATCTTATAAGGGAGAGGGATCAATGCGTGTGGAACAATTCCCATATGGGAAAGTACGACGGGATAACGAGGTTTGGTGACTGGATTCTCCCACGTCCGAATCGCAAGAAATTCTTCAACGCCCATAACTCATGCGTAGGCAATTGTGGTGATGGGCGTAATTTCATGTTTCGAAAGGGAGGGGGAATTGCTGCTGCGAGGGG